AAAAAAAACACTTGTTTTCCACTATTCTCTGCCTTCTTCAGAAAATTGCAGGTACATATACTTTATAAGTTTGTATTTATGTAAGACTGTGGAGTCATATGGAATTCAAATTCCAGATGTGGCACATAGGTCTGTGACCTTGAGAAAACAGTTTGACCTCTCTGATACTCAGTTTGTTCATAAGCATTGCATTGGGAATCATGGATTATCAAAGAAACCAGCTATAATAAGAAAAATCTTAATTGATTAGAAAGATACCAAGTACATAAGACAATCAAAGATAAGTCCATAGAACCATGGATGATAAAGAACAGGAATGAGGGCAGATCTGGGGACTCAGTACCAGAGCAAATATAGTTTCTCTCTTGTGTTACTCTGCCCAGAGTCAGTGGTCTGGGAGAGTGAGTCTGATTGGCCAAGCTTGCGTAGGTGACTCCAAATGGGAGAGGATAAGGTACCTTGGTTGCCATCCTATCCATCACCCAGAGTAGAGGGAAGGTGATCACTGAAAAGAATATCAAGTTGATTTTAACAGAATGACAACTGCATGGCCCAAACCCAACAGATGTCACCACATGGCTTCAAGGATTTTTGATTACATATACAAAGTGCCTAGATTACAGCTTGGGAAAAAATAGGTTTTCAATCAATGATAGAATTTATTGAAAAGGTTATCACTGGTTTCTTGGAGGAAGAATTTTTAATTTTTTCTATGGTTCTTTGTTGTTGTTACTGATTTTTGTTTTCTTTTCTCATTTCCTCCTCCTCCTTCTCTTTCTTTCTCCCTCTCCCTCCCTTCTTCCCCTTGTTTCCTCCCTCCCTCCTTTCCTTCCTTCCTTCCTTCCTTCCTCTTTCTTATTTTTTGAAGCAAAGTCATGCTATATAACCCAGGTTGGCCTCAAACTAGTGATTCTCCTGCTTCTACCTCCCAACTGTTGGGATTACAGGTATGCACTACCATGCTCAGCTTCCCACTAATAAGAAATAGATCCTGCCTTTGATACTCTGCTTCCCAAACTAGACTGTAAGCTTCAAGGACTCTAGTAATTAAATCTTTATTTGAATTATTCACATACAAGATGGTTTACAATGTCTTAGCTGTTTTTCCCTTTAACACTTGTGACAGAGGTTTGATGCAATCGTTATACTCCCAGAGTCAGTACAGGTGAAGAGGATTGTGAGATCTGGCTGATTCCTCATGTACTTGCTCTAATCCTGCTCTTGCCCTTTGCTACTCTAGAGACTATAAGGCCCTAACTCAACCTTATTTTATGAAAGAGTAAATTAATCACAAACTTTGGTATTTTAAAAAATGTGTGTATGTGTACCCATGCATACAAAACCAAGAAGTGACCTATTTTTCCCCCCTAAAGTTTAATGTAGTTTATCACCAGGGAGATTTATGAAAGTCCAGATCAGGTATTTTGGGGCCTCTTGGCCAGGCCTTTCCCCTTTGGGTTCATGAGTAGTCTGCTCCCACCCAACCTCCCTCCCAGGGCTTGACCAGTGTTAGTTACTGGTGTTATTGGCCCTTGCCCAGCTGGTCCTACAGAGGTCCTGTCTGCCCCTTTCTCACAACTGAACACATGGGTGGGGTCACCAGGTGTCATCCTCCCAAATACACAGCCTCCAAGGTGTAGGAGCCTCCAGTATTCTCTCAGTGTGGAAGTAAGACTCTCTCCCCAGTCTACAAAGACCTACCTACTGCTGCCCTCAGGCCCTTCTTTCAATTTTGTTTTTTGTTTCTTTCTTTTTCTTTCCTTCCTTCTATCTATCTTTCTTTCTTTCCTTCCTTCTTTCTTAGATAAAACTTTCATTGAGATATAATTCATATAATATACAATTCACTCATGCAAAATGTCCAGTTTAGTAGTTTTTTAGTATATTTTCAGAGTTATGCAACCATTGCCACAACCAGTTTAAAACATTTCCATCATCTCCAAAAAAAGCCCCACACCTAGGGCTTGTGGAGTGGCCCTAGTGGCAGAGCACCTGCCCAGCAAACACAAGGCCCTGAGTTCAAACCCCAGGACCACCAGAAAAAAAATTCAAAACCTGAAACCCCACACACATTAGCAATCACTCCCTACTCCCCAACCTCAGGAAATCAATAATTCATCAGTCCTGCTGATAATCCAGTAGTAATCTCTGTGGAGTTACCTATTTGAAACAATTCGTACAGTAGGTTCTTAACACATAGCCTATTGTGACTGGTATTTTTCACTTAGTATAATATTTTTAAGGGTCATCATGTTGTGGCATGTGATTTGTTCCATTTTATCGCTGAATAACATTCCACTGTGTGCATATGACACATTTCATGTCTCCTGTCACCATTTGATGACTGTTAGGGTCCTTCTGTTCTTGAATCTTTAAGCCACTGTCTCTTCAGCTCTGCTGGCCCGGGACCAGGGATGATAAACTCAAATGCTCATCAGCTTAGTGTAAGAAAAACAGGAAGTGGAAAGGACTGTGCCAAATGAGATGACACGTGTTTCATTGAGAGGGGGCAGCCTTTACTCACCCCAGGGCTCCACTCAGCTATAGAAACCTGGTGAGATTAGGTCTCGACATTGTCCCAGAGGAGCCAGACATGTTACCTGAAGATTTCCTAACTTTTAAATGTTGGCCAAATAAAGCAAACTATATGAAACAGACAAAACACAATCATGGTAAAGACTGAATGCTAAATGTGATCCCTGAGTAAAGTGGACACAGCTAATATCCGGGAACCTATGAAGGGTTAGCTGGACTGGGGGCTCCCCTGGCAACTCCTGCCTTCTCATTTGGCAACAAGAAAGCTTTCCCTTTGGAGGAAAGAAGAACCCAGGTCTAAAGTCAAATTCTGGGTGGGAGAGGGTGAAATTCCTCAAATTCTTTGGCTTATGATCTGCTGCAGCAGAAAAGCAAAGCCCAGGCTACTGCCCACATTAAATTAGTGCTAAACTGTCCTGCAAATTAGGATGGCCACTTTGGAATGGATTTTGACTTACCAGCATGACCTCAATTATGACAGTGACCTCGACCATGTCTGAGAGCTGCTGATTTTGTACAAGATGTGCCTGGAATCTGTGAGGACAGATTGGTAGAAATAAAGAGGAGAAACAGTGATTGTGTGACCTTCTTGTGTAGTGGAAATACAGAGATTTATGACAACAACTAGTTGAGTAAATAACCACTCTGCTTACTGCTTTGCTCTTTCCATTCTGCTTTACATGTGACCATGAAGGAAGTGAGTGTTTTTAAAGGGAATGAAACTAATAGAACCCAGCTTTAGTGTAACACATGGTATTTGTAATGGTGTTTTAAGCACAATATCTAATTCAAACCTTTGAAGACAGGCATCTTTACCTCTTTGTTTTTGTTCTTTCCTTTTATTTTGTGTGTGGTGCTGGGGATTGAACCCAGGGCCTTATGCATGCAGGGCTCTATCACCAAGCTATATCCTCAGCTCCTACCTGTCTTTTTATAATTAAGACATATCATCAGACATAGACAATGAAAAATGAGTTAATATCAGAGAGACCTCCTAGGGCTTAAATCCGTATCTTTCTATTCAAATCCTATAACTTTTCCACAGATACTGAGCTGTCCATTTAATATTTTCCAATTTTGATATATCTAAATAATAGGTATGGATGCTTTTGGTCTTAATGTAATGTTTAAGTTGAATTCACTCAGAAAACAATAAAAGGAAATTGTGGTTTCCAAAGTGTTTTAGTACTTTCCACATTCTTTGGTTGAGTCTTCAACACTGCATTAATTAATTAAAAAGTAGTTGGGAGCAGGTGTGCACATTAATTACTCAGTCACTGTCTTTAAAGGGGTGTGATGGTGAGAACGGTTTCAAGAAATATCACTAAATCCATCTCAACCAAATGACCTGTCCGCCTTCGTCTTCTTCTCCCCCACGTCTCTCCCCTCTTCCCACTTGTCTTTTCCTTCCTCTTTTTACTTTTTACTTGCCCAGCAAGTGATGAGATGACTTATAAACCTTTGGACTCAATCCTAGTTATGCTTTTTGCATATACATGTAGTCCTTCAGTTCATTCCACACTGTATAGCTATTAAGTACTCACTAATTTCCTATTGCTATATATTTCCTATTGCTGCTATAACAAATTAATACCACCTGTAATCCTAGCTACTCAGGAGGCAGAGATTAGGAAGATCAGGTTCAAAGCCAGCCTGGGCAAATAGTTCACAAGACTATCTCAAAAAAAGCTATCACAAAAAAAGGGCTGGCAGAGTGGCTCGAGCAGTAAGAGCACCTGCCTAGCAAGTATGAGGCCCTGAGTTCAAACTCCAGGGCCACCAAAACCAAATTGACACAAACTTACCAAACTCACCTTGATATGTCTAGAGTCATGCTCATAACTGAATAATGGTTTTCATTGTATTGTAATTCTCAACCTGTATTACAGGTTACCCAGCACTCAACTCAGTGTAAAAGCCAACGTCTGTTGGCCTCATCCATTTTCCTAAGGATAGGAAGTAGGGAAATGTGTGGAATTTGTCACAGCAGCTGGGACATTTTGGTGAGTGAAAAGAGAGACTACAATAATAATGAAGGAACAAAAGGTGTAAAAGAGGACTGTCCAGGAAACACCGAGTCAGAGGGTCTCCCTGTATGTTGACTCCATATGAAAAATTATAGCTGTAAACTACCCATAGGCCTGGGGCATTGTAACAGAACCTACAGCAATTTTACAAGGTGGGTATCATCTCTAGAGCTGAAGGAAATAAACCTCAGAAATTTCAATACCTAGCATAAGCAGATAAAGTTCTGAGTTGGAAACACTAAAATCAAACTTTTCCCGTTATCCTGCCTTCCAGAAGAAGTGTGACCTTTTGGAAATTACTGAGTTGAAATTGCCATCTGGGTTTGGTTGGGTATTTAGGTTACCCATGAGGGCTACATGTGCTCATTATTTAAGGTCCATGTAAAGCTGACAGCACACAGCGGTGACTTATGTCCTTTCTTTTCATCATGACCATAGGTCTGTCAGTTTGTCGTCTCAGTCAATGGGCTCAACGTGCTGCATGTGGACTACCGTACGGTGAGCAATCTGATTCTGACGGGCCCACGGACAATTGTCATGGAAGTCATGGAGGAGTTAGACTGCTGATCAGCAGGACCTCCCCGCCCACTGTTCCAGAATGAAACAGCAATGCAAGGACAAGACTTCCATGCGAATGGAGAGCTTTGGACATTCGGATCTTTTCTCTGTTCATACACATCTTCGATTTCATACACTGTTTGAACGTGGAAGAACCGGGTAACACATCTTTAAAAAAAAAAAAAGGTCTGTGTCCACAGTAGGGAAACAGAGTTTTCCTACCTGATGGAATTGCCTTACTGGATTTCCATTTGTAGTTTTCGTTTGTTGCTTTATCTTAGTTTGCAGAAAGTTGAAATGTTTCTCTATCCAAAATAGCGACATGCTGTAGGAGTCATTAAAAATAGTTGTTAGACTTTAAATTGTTCTTTCCAAGCCAGGCACAGGGGTTCATATCTGCAGTCCCAGCTACTTAGGAGGCTGAGGTAGGAGGCTCACTCTAGCCCAGGTGTTGGAGGCCAGTCTGGGCAGTATAGGAAGACCCCATCTCAAAATAAAAATGGACCTTTCGCCCAAATCAGCATGGAATTGTTTGACAGAAGGCCTGTATTTCACCAACTTCAAATTAAAGCAACACACACAGGAATATGACCCAGTAAGCAGCATTTCGAAAAAGGTTCTGAAGTATTCACAACCACCAAAAAAATGACTTGTTTCTTAATTCCCACCTTTGGTATTTACTTCTAACTTAGCACATTTCGATTGTGGCGTCAGGTAGAACACAAACAAAGCAAAACGTTGCCAATGCTGGGGGGAAACACTGCACAGATCCCACTTGTAACTTTTTGCACCATTTTCTCTTGCTGAGACTAAAACATTTTGTTCTACAAATCAGTTACAGTGGATTTCGAGAATTAATCCTAAATTTATTGAATGTGAAAATAGAGAAGTTTGTATACACATATATGAAACATAAAAATCAAACCTTCTGCATAGATTTCACTTTGAAACTGTCCACTTAAGGGGAAATATTCTAGAACTTGGCCTGTGTGTGATAAAACTTGAAACTCTAAATTGCCTTCTTAGACTGAATCTTTACAAGCCTTTTAATGTAACATATTCTAAGTGCAATATGTGCTGCTTATGTAGGGGAGTTATTTTCACTGAAATCACCATCTTGTGTTGTAATTTTTCATCAAACTTGTATATATGCATTTTTTTTTTGGTCTAGAAGATAGTGTATTTGGGGTCTTGATATATAGAGGAAATTCCTCAAAGTGCCAAATTAGGGATCAGGGAATGCTAAATTCTTTTTCATTTCATACAATGAATTTTGAACAAGGAGATTGCTTTCTTATGATGTATTAGCAAAATAATACACAAGCATTGTAACTCAGTCATTTCTTTGTGATAGGGTACAATGTGTTAGTACTGGTAGAATAACATACCGGGCTAAAGATTTTACATACATATATTTCTGGTAAGCCAACTTTTCTAGCTTTAATTAGAGAATAGGTTCCTGAAGTTTTACTGAATGTCTGACATCAATATTGTCAATCTACACTTGAGAAAGACTGTTCCCTGCCATGTGTTTGTGTGCCTGTGTGTTTATACTGTGTGCTACATTCTGCGCTACGGTGTTTAATGTGTATGATCTAAAATTTAATCCTTATCACAGGTAGTTATCACTCTCATTATTCAGATGGGGAAACTAAGACTGAGCAAGATTAAAAATGTTTTCTAAGTTCAAACACCTGTAAGAACTATTATGCGATAAATCCTGGATTCAAGTACAAGTTTGTTTAATGCTGAAGTCTGCATTCCCATCTCCCTCAAACTCTCCTATTTGTCCTTCTTGACCTATGAGGTCAATGCCATCACCATACCCATTTTACAAATAAGGAAACTGACTCATGAAGAGGTTAGTCACACGCTCAAGAACACACAAGTGGGAGATCTCGCCACTTGGCTTTAAAAAATTTATAACATCTTTAAAAGACGAATTTTAGATGCTTTCTGTCCCCACGTGTTCATTAATTGACAAAAGAAGGAATGCCTTTTGAGAAGTGTCATCTTCTTCTTGCCCGCTGCTTTGACTTACTACTCATATCCTAGTGCTATTATTTTGAACCCTGAAGCCAATCTAAGCACCAGAGAAGCATCTGTCTGTCTTTCCTCCTCCTGCTGGTGAGGGAGAGGAAAGGAGGGATGAACTAGTCTCTCTTTGATTCTTATCACCTTTGGTTTAAAGGTCAAATGCCAGAGAATTTCCAAGGCCATGACAGCCTTACATTTCTACTCCTCCAGCCTGCTCTTGCCATCCTCACACATCAGTTCAGGTGAATGACCCCCCTGCCCTAGGAACCTCATCTCAGTCCCTTCAGAATTTGTGTACACAGTGTCTCCTCCCTACAATGTTCTTCTTTCTCCATATTTGTCTGGAAATTCTTTCTTCTTGTTATCTCTTCTGAGAATTAACTCCCCAATGATGTCCCGTCTCTAAATCCTCTAAATTTCCATAGATCCTAAGTCCCATTATAGCATTGTTCACATTTACTGTGAAATTGTTCTGTTACATGTCTGTCTCATTAACTACTTAAACTCTAAGCATCTGCAGAACAGGGACTGTGTCTTGGTAGCCAGGGTATTCATTTCCTCTACCTGACCAAAGTAATGTATCAGCTATCCGTCGTTGACCAATTAGCCACCCCAGATCATGGCTTATCACAATATCTCTTGTTTGTTTCTGACCCTATGGGTTGTCAGTTTGAGCCATATGTTGCTGATGTGGCCCCCACTGCTCCATAAATGCCAATGGGGTCTCCACACAAATTTGTGGTCAGTGATCAGGTTGGTTGGAGGCTGTTTGTTCTTAGATGGTGGTATAGTTTGAATCTTGAATGTCCCCTAAAGACCCATGCATTAAAGAGTTGAGCCTCAAACTGGTAATATTGGAAGTTGGTAGAACCATTAAGAAGAGATGGGATCTATTGGGAGGTCCTTAGATCTTTAGGGATGCGCCATTGGAGGGGATGGTGGGACCCCAGACCCTTCTTTCTCTCTCTTGTTTCTTGACCATGAGGTGAACTGTTTTGCTATGCTTTGTGCCCATGCCATGATGTGTTGCCTCACCACAGGCCCCAAAACAAATTATGGACTAGAACCTCCAAAAACTGTGAGCCAAAATAACCCTTTTCTCTTGTTAAGTTGCTTGTCTCAGGTATTTTGTTATACCGATTGAAAGCTGACTAGCACAGATGGCTTCATGCAGACCTCTCAAAGTTGACTGGGACTGAGGACCAGTTGCCTCAGTTGCCTCCACTCCATACAGCCTCAAACAGGGTGAGAACAGAAACTGCAAGACCTTCTCTCTGTTTGGTTGGACATTACATAGTTTGACTTTCACACCATTCTGTAAGCCAAAGGAAGTCATAAAGCTAGCCCAGAATCCAGGGGTGGGGAACTAGATAGCCCTCTTCAATGGGAAGATGTCAAAGAAATTTAAGACTTCAAAGACAGAAAATCCTAAAATGATAGTGCTACTTGGGACCTTGTGGAGTACAATTTAGTCATTTCGTTTGACAAATGAAAACCTGCAGTGTGGAATGATCATAAGGCAGGCCCAACCCAGGGAGTTTGTGGGATGAGTGTGGACCAGATGCCGGTCTCCTGCCTTCTTGTCCTGTGGCCTTGACAGTATAGCAGGCTGCATCAGGGGACATGCAGCTGATATAGGCCTTTGGCATTGGGGTATTCATAAAACAAAAGTGGTACCAGGTACCCATGATAGTAAAGGAGTAGAGTTTTAATTGATTCCTCTCTTGAGTTAAATCATATCCTAAGAAAATATTCTGCTTCAAAATTTAAAAAGCCCTCTAAATGTAACACTAAAAATTATCTTAAATTAACAATCAGCAGTGTTGGAGCTTTTATTTCATGTGTGTGTGTGTGTGTGTGTGTGTGTGTGTGTGATCTTCCAAGATGGAAGTGTATTTTGTGTGAAGTTTTACCCATTGAGAACCTGCAAACCTTGGACATATCTTTCTTTGCTTCATTAAAAAAAACACTAGATGTTTCAGGTATCTGTACTAGGTGTTTATGTTTTGATGACAGAAATGAAAATAGTTTTTGTTTCTTTATTAGCATCGTATGTGTGAATCTGAAAGCCATGCTTTGTTGTAGAGAGAAAAACGCAGTTGCCTTTTGGGTTGATTCTATTCTCAGAGGTTTTATTAATCTCTGTCAAATTGTTGTGTAAATTGGAGCTGGACATGGTGGCTCATGGCTGTAATCCAAGCACTCAGGAGACTGAGGCAAGATTGAAAGGCCAGTCCAGATCTTTCAATGAGACCCTGTCTCAAAACAGTGTAGAGAAGTGATGGGTAACATGAAGAAGATGCCCATGTTTGTAGAGATGAGATGAGATCAACTTTACAGCCTCTTATAAAATAGGATTGCACCGGAGGGCAAAAGTTAGTATTAGAAATGTCATTGTTTTCCATTCAAAATGGAGTCTTAAATTTCCAAATAGTCTTTCCTCTCAAACATATTGTGAAAATACTCTGCTTTCAGGACTTATTTTAACTGTTATTTTAACTGTTCTTTCCTGTTGAGTATAAATCCTGCTTCATTTTGATTACAGAATATCAGAATAACTCTAGAACATTTCAGCTTTGCTAATTGGTTGAAGGCCTTTGCTGACATTGACCATGACTTCCATCAGTTTCAGTACCAAAAGGACAAATATGCTGTGTACCAAAATGAAGTTCACCATCAAAGATAACATCCAGTATTGATAAATGAATTAATGAATCTTCTCAATGTATATCTTTATTTTAAAATTAGATAAGATTTATTTGCTCTCTAATTAAAAATTGTACCATAATACTTAAAATTACTGTATGAAAACGCAGGAGTACAGCATGAAATAAATGTTGCACTTTTTAAAACAATGACTTTAGGGTTTTTAGCTTTCTCTCTTTTCAAACAAATTGACCAATTTTTGTGCAAAGCAAGAATTACATTTTAAGCTGATCTGCTTACTTATCAGTGAAAACACATGGAACTCATATTTAATTCACTAATGTAGCCAAAAGTGCCATTTGTGAATCTACTTGGATATTTTCTGGTAGTTTTTTGCCTGAAAAGAAATGCATTAAAAAGGTGGGGTTTCTTTGGTTTTGGTTTTTGTCTTTTATATGGTATGATTCAGAATCATTGCCTCCCTACGCAATGAGCACTGTAAGATATTCTACATGGGAAAATACCATGTGCTTATAATTCTTCAAAAATTTTCAGTGAACTGGGAAATGAGTTAACTAATTCTGTGTCGAATGAGCAGTGTAGAGTATGGGGAGAGTGGTTGTTCAGCTATCTATATTCCGCATTATCTGAAAGACTTTAAATTTTTCTGTCATTTATTTAATTATTCATTCATCATTTATTCAAGAAACCTTACTGAGTCAAACCCCAGTGCCTCTAAAAAAAACCAACCAAACAAAAAAGAGCCAACTCTTTGTTTAAGGCTGTGGAGAGGCTCAAGTGGTAGACCACCTGCCTAAACAAGCATGGGGCTCTGAGTTCAAACCCCAGTACCACCAAAAAAAAAAAAATAGAATTAAGAAAACTTACTGAGACATGAATTTAGGCACTGCTTGCAGACACTAACAATGCCAAATGAGCAGACATGCTCCCACATCTAGGTCCTCCTGCAAGAGTCACCTTCGAGCCTGTCCCTTAGATGGCCTCTCTGTAGATACAGAGGAATGAGATTTAATGTTGGACACTACCATCCAACCTAGGACAATAGTTTACATTTAACTGTTATTCTTCCCAACCCTGTCCCTTACTTTCCCTTACTTGGAGAAAACACAATAACGAGCATGGAGTTAATCATTTTCTTGCTTTTTGTGTTCTTAAAATTTTTTAAATGAACATTGAAAGAGCTTCAAGGATTTGTATTGTTTTTTTGGAGGGGGAGCAGTACTGGGGTTTGTTAGGCAGTCTACCACTTGAACCACACCTCCAGCCCTTTTGGCTTTCATTATTTTGGGGATAGGGTCTCACATTTATGCCCAGCCTGGCCTGAACTGTGATATTATTTGTGCTTCCCCATGTAACTGAGATAACAGGTGAGCACCACAATACCCCAGCTAATGGTTGATAGAAGGACTCACGGACATTTTGCCTGAACTGACTTGAACCTCAATCTCCTGATCTCTACTTTCTAAGTAGCTAGGATTATGGGTATGAGTCACCATGTCCCGCTAAACACTTCAAGTTACCTTTTGGGATTTTCCTGGCTTTTAATCCAATACCTATTATTTTCTTCCAGATTTCTGTGTATAGTTGTAATTCATTTGTTTTTCACAGCTTCGTAAATTTCCAGGCCAAAAATTATTTTTCTGTCTATAGTCAGTTCATTTCCATTGTTGATGCTTTCAGCACCATCTCCTGGGAACAAGTGAAGGAGTTTCTCTTAGGTATCTGCTTAGGAAAAGAATAGGTGAGTAGGGTGGTACACACCCTGTGAAAGAAAGAAAGAGAGAGAGAAGAGAGGGAGGGAGGGAGGGAGGGAGAAAAAGAGAGAGCATTGCCAAATCATAGGAAATGTGAACACTCAATTTTACAAAGTCACATTTGACTAGCCACCAAATGAGATGACCCAAAATATAAAAGTGATGTATGTTGTTTAGTATCCTCAGCACTACTTGATGTTTTGAAACTTTGTAGTTTTTGTGAAGTAAAATGTCTATTTGGTCAATGATACTGAGGTGTCTAAGATGCCATAATACTCCTAAATTAAAGCACATAAAATCTGAGAAATAGATTGCCATCCTAATTTACTACATCTACGCCTTCATGATGTTCAGGACCTTCCGAAACTTTTTATCCTACAACCCTGTGAATCAACTGAAACAAGGATTACTGGGAGTTGGTATGATATATTCAGGAACCTCCTACAAATTTTTGTTATTTGGTATTCAATTGAGAACATTAATAACAACCCCCCCTTCACTTTCCTGATTTTCCTCAGGTATTAAGGGATAAGGAGATTCACAGTTTAGTAGATAATACAGCTCTGGTTTTATGGTTACAAATTGGGAGAAGACAAAAATAATTTTGCATTGGATTGCTAGCTTTTGAAATTATAATTACATAGAAATAACTTGCCAAAAATAATCTTTAAAATTTAAAATTTTATACAGACTAATTTCACAGAACTGCATAATAAAATCTATTCCCTGCCTTATCAGGCTCATAGCAGTTTATGACCTCTTAGAAAAGCAGTAATCAACCTATTTGTACAAGATAGTATATCCTACAAATATACTGGAGATGTATTCCTGATTACAGAGAACTTTCTTTTCCTGATCACACCTTGATTGAGACATCATGCCTCTGAGGCAACCACCTAAGTCTAGAGGGGTTGGAGATTCATGCTAGAATTATGTGAGCAACACCACATCCCTGTGTTTCTGTTCCCACAAGCTTTCCGTGGCTAGAAAGTGGAAGCACAGGCTGCTGCTTGCCAAGTACAGCTGACGAATACACCCAGCAAAATAAAGAAATGCTCTGTAATGATCTTGGCCTGAGTGTCTTATTTCATTAGTTCCAGGACTTGACAGCTCTTTTTACTTTGCTGGCATTCTGCCTATGTGACACTTTTTTTTTTTTTTTTTGCCTTCTGGGACTCCATTTCTTAATTCTAAATGCCCTTTGATCTCTCAGAGGGTTAAATATTAAACTCATTTCTGGAAATCTGAGATACCTGGGTCCACAAAGGTCAATTCATAACAGAAGCTTTATGAAGGTGGATTGTGAACTGTGAGGTCCACCCTGACTGGTTGGGGCATCAGGCACCAGAGCTCTGAGGTTGCTCTGTTACCTCACGTTTGCACACGTGTGAGCCCCGGGTCTTAAGATCTGGCTGTGTTCCCCACTGTACAAGGTAAAGAAGCTAATCCTAGCCCTTACTTTTGAACCTGGAAAACACATGAACTGTGTGGCATGGAAACATCAAAGCTAGTGAAAAATTAAGCAGATAGACTGCCAGATCAGCAGAAAGGGAGTTCTTGTTTAAGGAACATGGGAGTCCATGTTCAGGGTAGCCTATTGTTTGAGACAAAGAACCCTTGGTTTTTTTCAGGTTTTCTGCAGCCAGTCTGACCTGCATCAGCTGTGAAAACCTTCTAGCACTTTCTAGCACTGCTCTGGAGCAGGATGAAGTAGGATGCCACCTTACTTCATTAAAGCACAAGTTGTTTCTTGTCACAAGCACAGTGTAGTCCACTCATGGACTTCCCTACTTACTCACTCGTCCACCTTCTTCACTTCTTTTCTCCTCAGTCCTCCATACACTCCCACCTTATTCCATGAATGGGAAAAAATGGGAACTAGTAGAACATTTTTCTAAATTTCTGAGAGACCTTGTATATTTGTTGGGTCACTCTGTCATTCTCAGAAATAGTTAATAATAACTAATTTGGGATTTGGAGATGTAGTTCAGGGGTAGAGCACTTCCTTAGCAGTGCAAAATCTGTGGCCAATCCCCAGTACACACACACACACATGCATACACAAAATAATAGCTAGTATTTATTGCACTCTAGAATGTGCTAGATACTCTGCTAAAACAATTACTGTTTTCTATGGATAATCTCATTTAATCCTCACAGCCACTCTGTGAAATAGGTACTAATAAAATCCCTGTTTATAGGCAGGGACAGCAGCTCTACATGGAGCTTAGGTCGGTGGCATGAGGTCACATACTAGTCAAGTGGTGGGGCCAGTCTTGGAACCCAGTACTGACTACTGAGGTTATCCACCTTCTGTGCCATCTAGTTTGCCAAACTACACAAGGTCATACTTGTATTCTAGAGAACAATCTAGAACAAGAATTTGATCCTTGAGAGCACCTCATTTTTTTTTTGGTGGTACTGGGGTTTGAACTCGGGGACTATGCTTGCTAGGCAGGTGCTCTACCATTTAAGCCACTTCACCAGTCCCTTCACTTTCTTGATGCTGCCACTGGGGACCATATTCAGCACCATCGTGAAGAATGAGGATGTAGAATTCATACCTCTAACCTGGTGGATGCCATTATTCCCTTGCTTTTCTGCCACACACCGGTGATTCCACCTGCTTTCCTCTAAGAGTTTTCTTTTTTCTTTCAAATGGAGTTATAATAATTTTTTCAACTCCCTTTGCAAGCAAACACCCAGGCCCTTGTGTTCATGTATGCATTTTATTTCATCCACTACAATAATTGTACCTCTTATCAACATTGCTGTTACATATTGGGAATCACCAATCACTATTGGTGGGAAACCAAAAAGTAACCTGGCAAGCCTGGGCACTCTGAAGGATAGGAACTTCATCAAGGAAACCTTATATTTCCAGGGTGCAGTAAGGTACCCAGCACACAGTCCCAGGTCCCCAAAATGTAAGAGAGTCTAGAATTGAAGTCTGGCTGATGTCTGTCTCCTGCTTCCTTTCTCGGTGGATTCAGAGACTCCAGTTTTCCATTCATTCCTGGAAACTGATTTGTCTTTGCCTTCCCTAGGTCTTTCTTCATACAGGCACCAGCAAGGCCAGACTGACACCTGGTGGAGCACAAGAGAAAGTAAAGTCAGTTTATAGCAAAGATGGAGGAAGGGCAGAGGACTTTCTTTTTTTTAGAACACTTAGCCCACCTTCCATGAAATGAATCAAGGCAAATCCTCAGGATTCTAGACTTCTAGAAACAGTTTTATTCATTGATGCTAGCAATGGTTATTGAATATCTGTTATGTGAAATTCACATGCTAAATGTTATACTGTTTTATTTACTTTGTGTACTTAGTCCCAAGTAAGTAATCACTTCCTAATGCCTCTCACAATGCTTCAACTCCACCTTAACCGACCTCCTCTGTGACCGCTAACATGCAAACCAACTAGGTCATAAGGCCAGGGTATCTTGGTAAAGCTGGACTCTTCCTCTCTCTCTCTCTCACACACACTCACAAACACACACACTCACACTCACAGTCACACGCTCACACACAGAGGCACATACCCCCCCATACACAGACACTCACACATGCACTCACACACACACTTACACAAACACACACAGATGCACTCACACAGACACACACACATTTCTACTCACACACACAGACACACTTATACACAGACACACAGATGCACACACACACTCACATAAATATGCACACACACACACTCACACACACACAGAGAAACATACCCCCCACACAGACACTCACACATGCACTCACACACACACTTACACAAACACAGATGCACTCACACACACACACTCACACACTTCCACTCACACACACACAGACACACTTATACACAGACACGCACACACACACTCACACACAGTCAACACACACACACAAACACACACAGACACACACTTTCACACACACTCGCACACATACACAGACACACACTCACACACAGACACAGACACCCACAGACATACACAGACACACAAACTCACACACATACACACTCACATACACCGACACACACAGACACTCAAACACACACACTAACACAATGCACACCCACACACAGCCACACTCACACACTCCCCCCC